GAACCAGTCAAAACTGGGGTTTCACCAGTAACAGCTGCACAAATACTGACGATGCATACAAGCTAACAGAATTATTTAAAATTCCACATTTCAGATATCTTTAAAAATGGAAAATATCCACAATTTCTAAACCTGATCTCACAATCCATTTGAGAAGATGATTTGAAATGATATGAGTCCCTATTTATTCCATTTAATGTAAATATCTGTATGTTTTATCACTGGAATACTAACACTTGTCTGGTAGTTATATGCCCTAAATTGGCTTTCAAAAATCTGAAAAACTGAGAATTCTGAAACATACGTGGCTTTAGGGTTTCAGATAATAGCTTATGGGCTTACAGCATAAAGGGTTATGTCTGACAATTAAAGAAGATAATATATATAAACACTAAAGACAAGGCCTGAAACATTTAAAACTTTTATATTTATTTTGTTTGTAACCACTATTAAAATGTGGCTTAGATAGCTAAAGGAGAATTTCATATTTAAGTAATATTATAGTTTTTAGAGTGGAACCTAGCCTTTTGGATTTAGAAGCTTTGAAATTTCTAATGTGCAGATATGAAACACTCTATCTGCTTATTGATAAATAAATCAAAAACACAAAAGTCAGCCTCTTTGCCTCAACAAGCACCCCAGATTCATAACCTATGTTCTTTTTGGAAAGGCCCATATGAAATTCAAATAAACATTTTAAGCATGGAAACTATATTTTTCCCACCTTTGTATTCCCTTCCAAGATACTTGATACATACATCAGAATACTTGATACACAGGTCAGAATGGTAATACCTAACATTTATTTTTGAGTTCTCACTTTATGCCAGGCACTTTGCTAAATGATTTATACATATTAACTCATAAGTCTCCTAGAAGGCATATATTTTTTATATTTTACAGAGAGTTTAAGTAATTCGCTTAAGGGGAAATCTGTAACTCTGTCCAATATAGCAGCCACAAGCCACATATGCCTATTTAAATGAAATAAAATGAAAAGTTCTGTTCCTATGACACATAAGTCACAATTCTGTTCCTCTGTCACATAAGTCTCAATACACATGTGTCTAAGTAGCTAACCTTATTGGAAAGTGCAGATATAGAACATTTCAATCACTGAAGGAAGTCCTGCTGCATAGGTATCTCTATATCATTAGCTTATGCCCGCTACAGCACACTGTAAATGCTCAATAAATACTTGATGATTTAAATAAACTGACCCAGAAGGCTATAATCTTAATTAATAATTTAGCCGCATGCTTTTAGGAGAAAGACAAAATAATGAAATAGAAGGAACTAGCCTCAGGATTATGTGTGTGTGTATTTTGCTCAATGTTACAGATGTTTATGTATGTTCACAGAGATGACTTCAGAATCACAGTTTTTAAAAAATGAATGGCAATGGTTAAAATTCTTTGCCAAGACAAATTAGCACACTGATACATTTTTAGAACTTTCAACCAGAAACATTGAAATCCAGAGGGTTTTCTGGTTAATTCCCCATTAACCAGAGAACATTGTTAACAGAAGATAACAGTCCACAAGTTAATTGAGACATAACTATTTTCTATGATTTGTTTCATGATGGCACCTTAATTTTAGTATCTCTTATTTCAATCAACATCTACAAAGAGAATCCCTTATTTCACAATCCTAACCCTATGTGATTATATGTAACTTAGTCTTATCCAGTGGTTCAAAATGTATCTTTTATGATCTGTAAATAATAAAAATCCAAAAGTAAAGATGTATTTGGATACTTAGATTGTGCTATTGTTTTTAAATCTGGATTGATGTGGAGTATACTATTGAAAGAATGGAAGAAGGTAATCACAACTAATTAAACTCACCCTTTTAAAAGTATTAGGCCAAAAAGACATTGGAATTTTCAAGAGTTTTCGATGGGAAAGTCTGAATACCAGCAGACAATATGGTAAGAGGCTCAGGTACAGACAGATGATCTGGGAACCTACCAAGTTTGTGCAAAGCTGTGCATGGGTACATTTCTCTGAATACAGGGTTCCCAGCTTTAAAGTTATCAAAGGGGCAAGTAGTCTGTTACAATAAAGACTCAGTAACAGTTAAAAAGGACACAGATTAAAAGGCATTGTACTTATTCTTAAGTACTAGTTGGTCTAGTTAAAGAAAATTTAATAAGTTAAACAGAATTTTGCTTGCACAGGTGACATTTAATATTTTAGCATTAATTTAGAAATTCTGTTTCCAAGTTTAGCATTATACTCATGGCAAATATTACTCAATTATTTTCAATTTAATTTTTTAATAATAAATTTTATTTAGTTACTTTTCAAGTACATTTTTTTAATCTATTTCTCCCATCCCACCCCCCGCCCTGTCTCCCCCAATTTAATTTGTTTTTAATTTTTAAAGTGTTTTGTCACATCATGAAGAAGTTTTTTTGTCTTTAAAACAACCTAAGGAAACATAACATAATGACATTTTTAAAAGAAAAGTCTCCCCATTAACTTAAATCATAGGGTAATAATGTATTATAAAGCCTTTGCTGGCAAATTTGTTTGGGATGGGCATAATAACTGACATTTGTTCTCTTTCTCATGAGTAATGTGGTCACCTTATATCAATGCTAATAAAACTGGTAGAGTACATCATCACAGATACATATAAAAGACACAATGCATATATTATATACACACACAAGCATAAACCTGGCAAGAATGACTGACAGTTTTACCAAAACCTTTGAAGAATTCAAACACAATACAGAACATTAAAAAAACAGACTATGAAGGAACAGGATGGCCTCAGGGAAAATGAACCCACAGGTAATCACCGTGCAGAGTCTCAGGCCTATTCCAGCCTCACCCTTCCTCTACCACCTAGCCAGTTCCAGTCAGAACAATGTTCCTGCAGTGAGCAAGTGGTCAGAACTCTCACCCTCAGCAGCTCTTTTGGGTACGCTATGTTGTTAGTACAACTCATTATCAACCTGGTTAGAGGAATAAAGCTACCTCACAGGCAGGCAATACAGTGCTAGGATTTTAAGTTTTTAAAGTTTTGGAATTTTAAAAAAATTGAGACAGCTCGTAACATAAAGAGAAAACTAACTAGGAAAGGAGACTGAAATAGAAATGCCTTAGAGGAACATGAGATGAAATCCTTGTAAAGAGATTCTGCATATGAAATGAGAGAAGTTACAGGGCAAGACAAGCTCCAATTTTACCTTTCAGAACAGTACAAAATAAATTGTAAAGGAAAAATAAAACTACAATTTAAAATTCATTCACAAAAAGATTTCCTTCTAGAGCACAGCCATGATACGTTATAGAGTAGCTCATGAACCATTTTTTAAATAAGAGATAAAATATGCACCTTTAAAAATGTCAATGAGAACTATCTTGGTATTCCTGCTAAACCCTAAAGGTTTCATAAAGCTATATTAATAAAAGCAGGGATAATATTCTGTTCTTCTCTACAGACAAAAATGTACTACTTTAACAAATATGCAATCAATGCTTTAAAAACCAATATAGTCAATCAACAGAATGAGAGCAAATATTTATAAATGATATATTATTTGATAAAAGACTTGTATCTAGAATATACAAGAAACTCTTTCAAATTAGTAACAGAAAAACCCAACTTAAAAATGGGCAAAAGATTTGAATGTCTACCCAAACAAGCTATCTAAAGTGGTCTACAAGCACACAAAAAGATATTCAACATCAATGCCATCAGGGAATGTACATCAAAACCACAGGATACCATTTCACACCCATCATGATGGCTACAATGAAAAGACAAATTATGAGAAGTATTACTGATAATGTAAAGAAAGATGTAGAGAAATGTTAACCTTCCTACAGTGCTAGAGGGAATGTAAATGGTTCAGCTGCTTTGGAAAACAGACTGGCAATTCCTCAAAAGGTTAAAGTTTCACACCTAGGTATATACCAAAATAAATAAAAAACTTGCACATGAATAGTAGCATTATTCCTAACAGCTCCAAAAGAAGAAAGAACCCAAATGTTTATCAAATGATGAATGCACAAAATGTGGTATAATCAGGTAATAAAGTGTCACAAAAAAGAGGCAGAAGGGGAGAGAGGAGGAGGAGAAAAAGGAAGAGAAGGCAGAAGAGGAGGAGGAAAAAGAAAGAAAATAAGCACCAATGCATGCTACAACATGGATGAAGGCTGAAAACATTATGCTAAGTTGCTAGGTCAAAAAAACATTTTCTGATTCCATTTATAGTAAAATGTCCAAAAATAGCAAATTTATAGATATTGGAAGTAGCTTAGTTGTTACCTAAGGCTGGAGGCCTTGAAGGGGGGATGAGAAATGACTACTGATGGACGCAGATTTATCTGAGGGGTTACAAAAATGCTCTACAGTTGAATGTGTTGACAGTTGCACAATTCTTTAAATACATTAAAAACCACTGAACTGTACACTTTAATTTTTTAATCCTCACCCAAGGATATGTTTATTAATTTTAGAGAAAAAGGAGGAGCAGAGTAAGAGAAAAGGGAGAGAACATCAACTGGTTGCCTCCATTAAGTGCCTGGATCAAGGATCAAACTTGCAACCTAGGTATGTGTTCTGACTGGGCAACACCCACAAAGGTAATGGTTTGAGTATAGTATAATCGAATCTAACAAAATGTTACTACTTAGGACTTCTGCTACATTTTTCTAGGTGGTGAAATTTTCTTAATAATTGTCCAAAAGCTTTGAATGTTACAGTATAATAATTTTAAAAGATAGCACAGAAATTCTGACATCAACCTCCTTTTTGTTTTAACAGTAAATTGCTGCCTGCATTCCTACTGTGATGCTGTGAAAATACCATGTGTTTCTAACTCTTCCAAATCATAGGCCCTGTCATGAGTGATACCATGTCATGGATCGGTGGGAAATAAACAGTTGCATGTAAAGTAAGAAATATGTCAGTCTTATACAAAGCTAAAAATCAAACTTAATTTTTAAAAAATTTTAATAATTTTCTGAGTTTTGTGTTACCTCTTCCTTTAGTGCATGCTTCCTCTGTTCCAAACAGATCTCCTTAGCCCTCATCATCTGCAGAGTCTCCTTAGAAACTGCATATTGGAGTTTTTCCATACGTTCAGCAGCTGCTGCCCAAGATGCTTTACCAAATTTCTTCTGATCTGCTCGCATTCGATCGTACACAGCTGTTAATAAATAATTTTTCAAAAAACACATTAAGACACACAACAATTTGATACTAAAGAATTTGTAAGGCTTAGCTTTCACTAACCAAGCACTCAAAGATAAACAGACAAATCCTACCACCATGGTAAATTACCAATAAGAGCCCTTAAATATAATTCAGCAGTATCTTACATTTTAATATCTTCAATAAAAAGTTTAAGTAATTATCCTCAAAAATAACTTTATGAAAATGAAACAGCTATCAGATTAATTTCAAAACTTTACAAAATACTTTTACACATATCTAGTGTTATTATATTTCAAAGTTCCTACAAAAACTTTATCTTCTGAAGTTTATACATTTTTCTGGGTATGTTAGTTGAAATATTCAAGATTACTTAAAATTATTTAAACCATGTGCTAAATTTATCATTTTGCCTTCTTCAACAATATTGCAATGATCTGATGTAAAAATAAATCCTAGATGTTAACATGGAGGTTATCATGTGAAGCTTAGAGTTAAAGTGGTACAAACACCAAGAAAGACACTCAACTTACCACCCAGCCCCTGCACACACCCATGCACATACACATGGAGAAAGGGAAAACATGTTAGTTTGCCACAGCAGAGGCCTAGGTCAAGATTGTAACTTCTTGACAAACCAGTAATATCTTCCTGTTAAAGAAGCTTATGACTGATAATAGTATGGTATTGGCTCATCCTGGGTTGTTACACAATTAGCCCAACCACAATCTGGTTAGTACCTAATGTCATCTTTAAGTCAGTTTACATTCAATAGTAGTTTCTCCTATATGTTCTGAGGTAAGTGATAAATATTTTGTACTGCTACTATGTCCTACCATCTTTTACAAAGTATATCTTGTAAGCTTTGCCTCAGACTTTTATGAAATCCTAATTTTTTTACAATAACACATGTACATACTTAAAAAGTAAAACTGTAGACAGCCTTATAATGAAAACAGCAGTTTCTCACAATCAGCTCTCCATCAGCTCTCCCCCACTCTTAATCCAGTGCTCAAATGCAAACAACTTCTAATTGTTTCTGGTGGTTACCTCCATATAGAAATAATGCTATTTGATTAACAGTTTTAAAAAATTATCTGTTGAGATCCTATTATGATGGATGAGAAATTTGCTTACTTAGAATCTCTTCTCAATAAGTTATCAGTTCTTTCAGTTGCTTTGTTCTTCTGTGGCTTTTACTGTGTTGGCCAAAAAGCCCATTTAGTTTTTTTCCATAAAATAAGAGACATATTTTTCCTTTTCATCAATAACTTTAAATTTGGACATTTTGAGGATACTGGCTATCTCCACATAGTATAATGTTGACTGTTCTCAATTAATGCCTCAATTTTTTTACTATCAACTTCAACCAGTCTACTCGACCACAGAGTATCACCATCCAGTGAGAAATGTCCAGCATAAAACTTCACAAACCACTTTTGATGCACTTGATCAGTTACAAGCACCTCTCCACACACTGCAAACTTTTACATTTCAGATGTGTTTTTATCTTTCATGAAATAATAAAGCATAATATGCTGAAAATGTGTATTTTCTTCAATCTTTAATATTAAAATGGCCACACAAAAATTCACCAATTTTGTGTGAATTTTTTGAAAAGCATGCTGATATGACAGCTGTTACAATATAATCTAACAAAATTGTTTCAAATGAAGTTAAAGACAAGTAAGTGCTACTAGAGCCATCTTACAGAAAAAAGATCAAATGAATCTTTTTGCCAACCCAATAAATGCCAACATATAAGAGGTAATGTTTAATTCATAATCATACTCTGTACCTCAATTTTAGGTTTCTAGTCATGTTGGTTAAATACGAAATGATTCTGCCTTTTAAATTTCTGCCCATCTTTTAAAATTGTGTTATAATATTTATGCAAATACAAGATCAATATAATAGTGCACTGCAGGAAAAGAAAATGGCAGGAGGTTTGGAGTTAGATTTTAGTTAAATTCACAATTCCAACCATAACTGACGTGTAACTTTGGCAAGAAATCTAACTGTTCTTGGTTTCAGTTCCCTTGAGTGAACAAAGTAAGGACATACAGGACCTAGGAAGAAGGCTTTTATGGGAACTGAATTGAGGATGATAGGTGTTCAAATGTCTCTCCCACTTCACAAGGCAACATTAATTGAATATATGGTCTGTTCTGTTTCTTTTCTTTCTTTCTCATGTACAACTACCACAATCATTCACATTTCTATGAAGTTATATTATTTTCAAAGTACATTTTTCATATATTATCTCTATCTGCCCACCAATCCCATAGAATAGGTAAGGTATGAATTACTAACACCTTCTACATAGATATACATATCTGAAGAGTTTGGTTAACTTAAAAGAAAGGTCACGTACCTACAGTAAGTAAAGTGAGAACAGGTACCCAATTTGCTTAAGCCCCTAGTCTACTATCTCTACCATTTTTACCTGAAACTATAATCACAGCAAATAAAACATTCTGTATACTTGCAAACAGGCGCCTCTTCTCTTGCTCCCCACTTCAGGACCATGTCTAGGGAGCACCTCCCTGTCCTAATTTAGTCTCAGGTCGTTACCTACCACAAGACCTAGACAATACTTTGTGTTCCAACATCTTTACATGGAACGCATTCTTATGTCTAATTGCTGCTCACTTCACCTGTAATCATTTCCCAACAGCTCAGGAATATAATAGGTAATGAGAAATATTATTTGTGAATAAATTGGAATACCCCTAAGAACAGTACTGGAATACCTCTAAAACAGATTTTTCTCTCCCTCTGCTGGCAAAAAAAAAAAAAAAAAAGGTTCTTGCAAAGATGACCATTTACATGATCAGGGTAACAACTCTGTAAGAATACCCTATGATGATCATTAAATGTAAAAAAAATCTCTGAAGGTGACAAGGTCCTGGTGTTTACAGGTACCATGTTAAATCTGTTTTTAAAAAACCTTAATGTTCTATATACTTGTCAGAAACAGGCCCATTTAAGATGTTTTTAAAAGCTAAGTAGTAATGTATCAAAATTGGGTTATATCTGTTTTTGTATAAGAAAAGAAATAAAATAGTGCTTTTTACTTTTCTTCTAAAAAGAGGTTACCTTCTGATTGCAAACATAAAGGAAGGCTATTACTCTCAACAGCATAAAGCCACAGAGAAATCTTCATTATGTTTCTCTTACATGGGAAGAGGAATACATGGAAAGAGGAAAACATGCAAAAAAAGAAAAGAAAAGAAAAGAAAAGAAAAGAAAAGAAAAGAAAAGAAAAGAAAAGAAAAGAAAAGAAAAGAAAAAAGATCAAGCAAACTAAGTATCTCCTCTTGTTTGGACTTCCTGCTAGAATAAAATCACCAGAACTGAGATACAAAAAATCTACAATGACTTTGAGGAAGCAATTGGAACCCTAGAATGCCACTCATCATACAAAAATGTTTTGCCTAAAATTGGAGAAACAAATTATAAAATAAGAGCAATCATTAAAAATTCCATACAACTAGAATCAATGACCTATGAACTATATATGAGAATATATACAGAATGATGGCAATTAGGTAATAAGCAAAAAAAAAAAAAAAAAAAAAACAGACACAAAGTGGTGGCATAAGTCTAATAGGATTACAGACATGGAGTTTTTTTTCCTCTAATATTCTAAATTTTCTGTAATGGATATATATATTCTTTAATCACAATACAAAAGCTTTTTTTTTAAACATTAGAAAAGAGTGCATCTACAAGGCAGTCTAAACCAAGCACAGTTTTTATAAAAATAGTTTATAGTAGGGAGTTATCTTTAAACATTAAAAAAAATTACTATTAGTATAATGTATTGTTTTTTTCTTTTTAAGAATTACCATACTGCTCTAGGGTGAATGCCTAGGAATGAGATTGCTGGGTCATATGGTAAGTATATCTTTAATTTCGTAAAACAATACAAAACAATTTTCTAGAGACACTGTACAATTTTTGCAATCCTGCCAGCAATGCAAGAAGGATTCCCATTACTCTGTATCTGGTCGGCACTTTGTATTGTTAGTATTTTTTAAATTTTCTTTTTAAGTTTATTGATTTAATTTTAATTTAATTTTATTTATGTATTATTATTATGTTTTAAAGCTTTAACTGAAGGTAGAGCCTAGATATGGGAATTTTTAAGAGTTTTCTAGGTCTGTGATTCTAATTAAAAAATTAATTGACTTTATTAGTAGGAAGAAATATATTAATATTTGCAATTGTTATTTTCATCTCAAAAATGAAGTCAGTAGAACTAGAGAAATTTCAGTACTTGGGTCTTAACTACTATACATATAACTTAGTTGAAATAGGTCATCCAGGAAGAATGCGGACATCATTTAGTAATTATCAAAATATTTACAGAATGCTAGGAAAGAGCCTAAAAGCTGAAGGAGGTAGAGCAGTAGTAACTAATTATCCTATTCTGTTTTATTTTAGTTTTCTGAACTCTTTATTTTTTTATATAATGTTTATTGTATTTTTTCCCATGCCCATTTAATCTCCTTATAGCCAGCCTCCTTCCCCAGCAATCACCACACTGCTGTCCACTGAGAGTCCCTTCTTCCTCAAGCCCTTCATTCCCTTATCTCCCCACACCTAGCTGTCATCTGCTCTCAATCTATGAGTCTAACTCCATTTTCCTTGTTAGTTCAGTTTGTTCATTAGATTCCACCTATTAGTGAAATCATATGGGATTTGTGTTTCTCTGACTGGCTTTTCACTTAGCATAATAGCCTCCAGTTCCATCCATGTTGTCACAAAAGGTAGGAAGGTATTTCTTTCTATCTACTGTGTAGTATTCCACTGTGTAGATGTACCACAGTTTTGATCCACTCATACTAATTTTAGAGAGAGGGGGAGGGAGAAACACACCAATTTGTTGCCCTACTTATTTACTATGCATTCATAGATTGCTTCTTTTATGTGCTTTGACTGGGGTTTGAACTCACAACCCTGGTGTATCAGGATGATGCTCTAACCAATTGAGCTACCCAGCCATGGCTTTGTTAGTATTTTTAATTTTAACAAATCTAATAGTCACTGTTGGTATCTCACTGTGGTTTTAATCTGCATTTCCCTAAGAACAAATGGTGTTGAACATCTTTTCGAGTGTTATTTACCATATTTATTCCCTGGTAAACTATCTGTTCAAGTGGTTTATTTTCTTACCCCCTCTATTGGATTGCTGGATTGTTTGTTGAATTTTAAGATATTTTATATATTATGGATACAAGTTCTTTGTTGACGTTATTTGCAAATATTTTCTCTTAAATACTCTTTTGTCTTGTCATTCTCTTCATAGTAACTAACAGAGTAAAAGTTTTTAACTTGGATGAAATTCATTTGATCAGTTTTTTCTTTTATGATTCAGTCATCATCACTTTTACTACTTAGAGTCTATATTTGTGGTGTCGCTGCTAATAACTTTCTGCCTACATCTAGGTTAAAAAACTTCTCTTCTATGTTTTCTTCTGGAAGTTTTACAGTTAGATCCGTTTTGAGTTCATCTTTGTATAAGGTATGAGGCTTTGGTCAAGGTTCACTTTTCCATATATGGATGACCAATTGTTCCAGCATCATTTTTTTCCCACTAATTTGCTTGGTCAAAGCATAACTGATCACATTATCATGAGTGTATTTCTGTATTCCTTAATCACTTTCATCAATTTACAAGTGTATCCCTTCCACAGTACTACACCACAGTAGCTCTACAGTAATTTGTAAAGTCAGGTAATGTGATTCTTCCAATATTCTCTTTCCAAAAACTGTTCTGGTGATTTTAGTTTCTTTGTCCTTCCATATAAATTATAACAGCCCATATAAATCTATAACGTAAAAACAAAAACAAACCTCTGCAGAAAAGCACTGTATTAAATCTACAGATCACTCTGGGATGAACTGACATCACCACTATGTTAAGTATTCCAATCCACAAACACAAAATATCTACCCATCTACTTAGGTCTGAAATTTCCTTCATCAGTATTTTGTAACTGTCAGCATACAAATCCTGTACATTTTGTTAGATTTATACCTAATATTTTGTTATTATTTAAATGTTATTATTGTAAATTTTTTATTTCCAATGGTTAATTGCTTGTATAGATAAGTATAATTCCCTTCTGTGTTGACCTTATTTCCTGTGACCTTGAGAAAGTAATTTGCTAGTTCCAAGGGTTTTAATTTAATTTTTAAAAAATATTTTATTTATTTATCTTTAGAGGGGAAGGGACAGAGGGAGTGAAATATCAATGTGTGGTTGCCTCTTGTGCATCTTCTGCTGGGAACTGGCCTGCAACCCAGGCATGTGCCTTGACTGGGAATCAAACCATGATACTCTGGTTCACAGGCCTGTGCTCAATCCAGTGAGCTACACCAGCCAGGGCACGACTTTTAAAAAATAGATTCCATACAATGTTATCTGTAAATGAAGACTATTTTTATTTCTTCCATTCTAAACTATATGCTTTTATTTATTTTTCTTGCCTCATTACAACTAGTTAAGATTTACTGCATTAAGTTGAATAGCAGTGATGAGTGTGAACATCTATGATTGTGACTTTTTATATATTTCAGGGGGGAAGCATTCAGTCTCTAGCCATTAATTGAGATACTGACTTGAGTTTTTGTAGATGCTCTTTATCAAGAAAATTTATTTTTATTTAGTTTTCTGAGTGTTTTTAGCACATATAATGTTGTATTTTGCCAAATGCTTTTAAAATATCACAAGGAAATAAAGGGTTTTTACTTGGCTTTAACTGTATGGAAGAAAACAGAAACTTACTTTAGAAAATACAACAAAGTAATATAAAGATTTCAAAAGAAATCATTCTTAAAAGTTGATAGTTTTTACAAACAAAATTTGTATAACAAAAAGTTAAAAGAAAATTTAATAGATATTTGAAAGATATCAGAAAGCTAATATACAACTATATTTTAAAGAATCAATTAATATAAGGAGCCCTTACAGAGCCATACAAAAAAATACCATTAAAATATACAACAAAAGTTAACTGAATAAAAAGAATGTACAAATATCAATTATTAATAAAAGCAGAAAAGATTTATACTCAATAATAACCCAAGAAATGCAAACTTTAAAAACATTAATTATAGTTTTCACCTACCAAAGTGTTGGTCTTATTTTTTTAATGTCAATGCCAAATGATGCTGAGGAATTAAGCAAAGTATTCTCATTCAGCATTGGCATTATAAAGAAATAAACTGCTTTAAGTGAAATTTTTAACAAAACGTGGACTTACTGAAAGAATATCCTGGATGTTAACCTATATTAATGCCAGATAAAGAGATGGACAATTATTAAAATAACGAACAGCACTGATTTTGACCTGCATATTAAGGAGCCATTAAATGATTTCTATGGACACCTATGGATGGAAGCTGAAAGAAATGAATCTTCACAGACCTTGTCCTATGTGTCTTTTCATTTGGCTTATCCTGATTTGTATCCTTTATAAACTAATTATGCACTTTCCTGAGTTCTGTGAGTCATTGTAGTGAACTGCTGAATCTAAAAGGGCTACAGAAACCCCCAAATTTTTAGGCAATTGGTTAGAGGTTCAGATGACGTAAAGACAACCTCCAGCCCTGGCTGGTGTGGCTCAGTGGATTGAGCGTGGGCCTGAGAACCAGATGATTGCGGTTGGATTCCAAGTCATTGCACGCCTGGGTTGCAGGCCGGTTCCCAGCAGGGGACTCATGAGAGGCAACCATACATTGATGTTTCTCTCCCTCTCTCCTTCCCTCCTCCAAATTAGTGAGCAGTGTCTGAGGTGAGGATAGTCATGGTGGTGGCTGTGCCTCTAAACTGTGTGTGTGGGGGGGTCACTGTAAATTAAATGACAGAACTGAATTATACTATACCAATACCCCATTACTATTATTTATTTTTTACAATTGGTATATGTAAACACATATCCCTAGAAAAGACTGAAAGGAAATGTTTGTTAATAGCGATCTTCCTTAACTGCTAGGATTATGAGTGGTATTTAGATACTTTTCAATATAGTTATTGTGAACATAAAATATTTAAATTAATTATTCTTAAAAGTAAGAATTTTACTGGGAAACTCACCTTTTTGAGCTTTAGCTGTTATTTCAAAATATTTGACAGTAAGATCTTGAATAGAGAGCACAGCCATGTGAGCTTTCCGCTGCCAATCTGCATCTTCTTTTTGTAGACTTTCAATTCTTCGTGGACCCAGATAGTCATTCTCCATGGAAATCTTGAGAGAGAGAACAAAATTAAGCAGTTCATCCCTTGCTTTCTCTTATTACTTTATTAAACATTTACTGCATGTTTGTGTATCAGGCATTGTGCTTGGATCTAAAAACAAAGAATATTTATTTTCCCCTGCTTCAGAATACAAGCTAGTAAGGCATAAAACAAGTAAATTAACAATAATGTTGATACTGACATAAAATTTATTCCCCCTTCATCCTTCTCGATCTTTTTTATCCTTTCTTCTACCATATGTAAACAAAAGATGTACAGCGAAATGTTATTAACTAATTATTTTGGGGTGCTGAGATAATGAGAAAAAGAAAATTTCTTCCTCTGTCCTAACTAAATTTTCAGGTTAAGAATTATTTATACTAATAAAATACTGAATAACTGAAAAATAAAATGAAAACTTAGACTTTAAGACTGATAATATATAAAAATCAAGCCATCTACCTTCTGGAGATGCTGGCAGACAACCCAGGCATGTATCCTGAACTGGGAATCGAAACAGTAACCTTCTGTTTCACAGACCAGCACTCAATCCTCTTGAGCCGCACCAGCCACGGGCTTCACCTTCTTTCATTCAGTGCCCTCTCTTCCCTCCTCCCCTCTTATAGCTCTCAGTTTATTCCAAGGTATTTTATTTAGTTGCAACAGTATATGGGATTATTTTTGTAGTTTCTCTGCTAGTTCATTATTGGTGTATAAAAATACCACCTATGTCTGATACTGACTTTGCATCCCATTACTTTGCTGAGTTCATTTATTAGGTCAAGTAGTGTTTTTGGTGGAGCCTATAGGGTTTTCTACGTACCATTTCATGTCATCCACAAACAACAGCTTTACTTCTTTTCCAATTTGGACAGCTTTTATTTCTTCTTTTTGTCTGATGGCTGTAGCCAGGACTACTAGTACTATGTTGAGTAAGAGTTATGAAAGCAGACACCCCTGTCTTGTTTCTGATCTTACTGAGAACTTTTACTTTTTGCCCATTGAGTATGATGCTGGCAATAGGTTTACATATGTGGTCTTTATTATGTTTAGGTATGCACCCTCTATTCCCAGTTTGGTGACTGTTATCGTAAATGGGTGCTGGATTTTACAAAATGCTTTTTCTGAAACTTTTGTTATGATCATGCAATTTTTGTCTTTCATTTTGTTTATGTGATGTATCATTTTGCTGATTTGTGGCTATTGCAGCATCCTTGCATCTCTGGAATAAATCCTACTTGGTCATGGTGTACATAATCTTTTTAATGTACTGCTGGATCCAGTTTGCTAATATTTTGTTGAGGATTTTTGCAACCACGTTCATCAGAAATACTGGCCTGTTATTTTCTTCCTTCCTTGTATCTTTATCTGCTTCTGGAATTAGGGTAATACTGACCTCAAAGAAAGAGTTTGGAAGTCTTCCCTCTTCTTGAGGTTTTTATAGTAGTTTAAGGAGGATAGGTGTTAGCTCTTTGAATGACTGGTAAAACCAATCAAAGGCCTTTTGTGTGTCAGTATTTATTTAATTACTGTTACCAGATGAGTTGTTACCAGATGCCTGCTTTGATCTCACTAGTTGTTATAGGTCTAGTAAGGTTTTTGGCTTATTTTCAATTCAGCTTTGGAAGATTAAATGTTTCTGTCAATTTATCAGTTTTGCCCAGGATGTCCAATTGGTTTGGACATACAGTTGGTTTATAGTAAATGTGCCCTTCTGTAGTATCAGTCATTACTTCTCTTTCATTTCTAATTTTATTTGGGTCTTCTCATTTTTCTTCCATTATTTTTTATTGTATCTTTTCTCAAGGTTTATTAAAATTATATTTTGTTATTACTGTTGTCCTGATTTTTCCCCCTTGCCCCACTCCACCCAGCACCCCGTATTCCCTCAGGCAATCCCCCCACCATTGTTTACGTCCATGCATCATGCATGTAAGTTCTTTCACTACTTCATTGTATTCACATCCCCATGGTTATTCTGTAACTACCTATTTGTACTTCTTACTCCCCTCACCTCTTTACCCCTTCCCCCAACTCCTCATATGACAACCATCAAAATAAAATGCTCTCTGTATCCATGACTCTGTTCTGTAGCTGACCACTGGGTGTGTTGGCCCTGGGGTATCCCAGGATGTGCAGGTCAAGTTCAGCCCCCACCTTTGTTTAGCCTGCGGCACCCTGTGAAAGCTGTAAAGCAATCTGAGATGGCTGCTCCTTGTGTTGGGCTTAGAGATTCCCAGGCAACGTCAAACTGTGAATCTATGCTGGTTGCTGCTGCTGCTGGGCCTTGGCTCACTGATGCCAGTTGTTGCTTGTCTGAGAGGATTTAGGAAGTTATGAAACAAGCCAACACCAGATATTCATAAGAAAAAGCAGCTTGGGTGGGCCAGAGTCTTTGGAAATCTCCAAGGCAGGTCAAACAATGTTACCCAGGTTGAGTTGAGTGTCTCAGATATGGCACCAACTTGCCAGTTCTGTGAGGGGAAGCTTCAAAAAGGGGACAATGGCCTCTGTTCCCCTTGATGCCAGACACTTCAGTTCCTCCCTGCATACCACTGTTGTCTTTTGAGTTGTTACCAGATGCCTGAGCTCAAAGGTAGTGAGTCTGAGAAGGTGAGTTTGTGTGTGGATTCTTTAGGAGCAACTGTTTGGGGCTCTAGCAGTTTCCTCCAGACTCAATCCCCACTGGTTTTTGCAGCCGGAAGTTGTGGGGACTTATCTTCCTGGGACTGGAATCCTGGATTGGGGGGCCGGATGTGGGGGTAGGACTCCTCGATCCTGAGATACCCCTCTCAAATTTTTTACCACACGTGGGTCAAGGACCAGTCAGTTCCATGTCTGTGTCTCTCCTACGAGACTGGACAGATGTGGTTTATTTAATTCCGTCACTGTCAGACTTCCATTCAAGTCTTATTTCTAATGGTTCTGAGCGATCGTTGTTCCATATTTTAGTCGTAATTTTGATGTGGATGTGTGAAGAAGCAAGCCATGTCTGCCTATGCCACCATCTTGACCAAAAGTGCATCTTTTATTCTTGATGAGTTTGGTTAAAGGTTTATCAGTTTTGCATATCTTTTCAAAGAACCCGTTCCTGGTTCTTCACTGACCGTTTGAATTGTTATTTTAGTCTCTACATCATTTATTTCTCCTTTGATTATTTCTTTCCTTCTACTTGCTCTGGGCTTTGTTTTTTGTTGTTGTTGTTTTTCTAGTTCTTTTAGATGCAAGGTTAGGTTTTAAATTTTTCTATCTGCTTTAGGGAGGCCTGTGATGCTGTGAAGTTCCCTCTCAGAACTGCTTTTGCACTGTTCCATTGACTTTTGGGTTTTCATTTTCATTTGTTTCCAGATACTTTTTGATTTCTTCCTTGATCTCATTGTTAGCCCATTTACTTTTTAATAACATGTTACTTAGCCTCCATGTATTGAATGTTTTTGAGTTTCTTTCTTGAAGTTGAGGTTTTCTTTTAATTTTTTAGTGTGACCCAAGAAAATGCTTGATATGACTTTTTCCTCATATTTGTTAAGGGTTATTTTGTGTCCTACCATGTGATCTATGCTTGAAAGTTTTCCTTGTGCCTTTGAGAATGTACATTTTGCTTCTTTTGGGGGAAGTGTTCTGCAAATATCAATTAAGTCCATATGATGTAGTGTGTCACTTAGTGCTGCCATATCCTTATTCTTTTTTTTTGGTCTGGAATATGTCCATTGTTGACAGTAGGGTGTTAAAAACCCTAATGATGACTATATTGCTGTGAATCTTTCTTAAAAGTCCTCCTCCAAGATTTTCTTTATATATTTAAGTGCTCCTATGTTAGGTGTATACATATCTACTAGGGTTATAGCCTCTTGTTGGACTGACCCTGTAAGTATTATGTAATGACATGACCTTTCCTGTCTCGTTATAATCTTTATTTTGAAGTCTATTTCATCAGGTAGAATACTGCTACCCTGGCTTTCCTCTCACATCCATGTGAATGGAATATTTTTTTTCCATCTCTTCACTTTCAGCCCTTGTAAATCTTTTGCTATGAGGTGGATCTCTTGTAAACAGTATATATATGGGTCATGTTTTCTTATCCATTCAGGTACTCTGCATCTTTTGATCGGTGCATTTAATCCATTTACATTTAAGGTTATTATTGATAGGTACTTATTTGTTGTCATTTTATCCTTTGCACCTATGTTCCTCTATTTCCTTTTCTTAATGCAGACCCTTTTGCATCTCTTGCAATTTCCTGCTTGCTTGGTGGAAAAGTACACCTTTAGCCTTTTTCAGAGGAGTGGGGGTCTGGAAGGTCTTTATTTCACCTTCTATTTTAAATGATAGCCTTGGTGGATAGAGTAGTTTTGGCTGCAGGTCCTTGGTAGTCATTACTTAGGATATTTCATGGCAGTGCCTTCAGGCCTGTAGTGTTGGTTGAGAAATCAATGGACAACCTTATTGGAGATCCCTTGTAGGTAACTGTTTCCTTTTTGCTGCCTTTAAGATTCTTTGCCTTTAAACTTTGCTATTTTAAATGTGGTGTGTCTTAGTGTAGGCCTCTTTGGGTTCATCTTGATTGGAACTCTGTGCTTCCTGAACCTGTGTGGCTTTCCCCCTCACCAAATTAGGAAAGTTTTCTTGCATTTTTTCAAACAGGCTTTTTATGGCTAGTTCCCTTTCCTTTCCTGGCATCCCTATGATGTGAATATTGCTACATTTCATGTTATCCCAAAGCCATCTTAAGACTATCCTCATTCTTTTTAAATCTTTTGTCATTCTGTTGCCCTGATTGGGTGTTTTTCCACCTTGTCATCCAAATCGCTGATTTGTTCCTCTTTGTCCAGTCTGCTTTTAATTACTTCTAGTGTATTCTTCTTTTCACATGTTGCTTTCTTTATTTCCAGCTTAACGCAGCTTCCATGTCCCTTTTCATGCTGATGTAGCTCTCACTACATTCCTTGAGCACCCTTATATCCATTACTTTGAAATCTATTTCTGGTAAGTTGCTTGCCTCAATTTCACTTA